GGAGCAGCCCCAGTTGGCCTCTGGGAGGGTCGGCAGGTCGCTGGCGTTCGCAGCTGCGGTCAGCGTTCACCTGGTGAGCTCGCCTCCCCTGCGGCCGAGCAACTGGATGTCATTCCAGAGACTGAGAGTCCCAGCTGTGACACGTGGGGCATGAGATGGATTGTCTCCTCCTGCCAGGCCCTGCCAGCTCTGCTGTGCTGCCTGGTGTCTCTAGGGACGTTACGGAGCAGGCTGCCATCGGTGTCCCTCCCTGCTTGGGGGCACGGGAGGGAGTTGCAGCAGCACTGACTGCCGAGCTCCAAACACCCTCCCGGGCCAGCCGCCAGCTCCCTGGTCTCCTGGACGGAGATGCTGAGCTGGGCTCCGTGGGGAGCACAGTGAAAGCTCCAGGCAGAGCTGCCAGGTGACACAGGAGGTTTGCCACCTCTGTGTCCCAGCCCTGCCCTCCTGGGCACCGGGAAAAGCAGGCTTTTCTGCAAGCAGGGAGCGTTTTAGGGCCTTTGTCTTTGAAGGGTGCAGTGGAGCTTCTCAGGTGCTGCGTGTCGTGGGAAAGGTTTATTCCTGCTTGCTTCCTGTTCTTGACTTCTGTTTCTGTGAGGTTGGTGCCTGGGAGAAAGGAGGGCGTCCCTGGCTGGTGGAGTGTTCTTTGATATCCCCATCTAGCTTTTACGGTCAGCAGACTGGATAATTTGACGCTGAGGGTGCAGGCATGGCAAAGCTTGGGAGGGAGAATCTTCCGAGATAACGCTCCTGAGAAATGAAGCTGTTCCTTGATGCCACTGCTGTGTGGTCCCTGCCACATCCCATGGGCTGCAGGTGACACCTTCTTCTCCCTCTTCCAGGTCTGGGTCCCAATTCTTCTTCCACCCCAGCACATGAAGTTGGCAGGAGGACCTCAGTGCTCTTCTCCAAGAAGAACCCTAAAACTGCAGGCCCTCCAAAACGTCCAGGACGCCCCCCGAAGAATCGAGACAGCCAGATCACTCCCGGGCACGGGAACAGCCCCATCGGACCCCCCCAGCTCCCAATAATGGGGTCCTCCCAGCGGCAGAGGAAGCGAGGGCGAAGCCCGCCCCCCCAC